TAACATCATACGCCCTTGATATCATGTACTGAGAGAAGTCCAACATCACTTCTGTGGTATTCTTGCCAAAAAAAAATTGCACAATTTACTCTCAATCATGAGAAAACATCAGATAAACCCAAATTGAAAGACATTTACAAGGTAACTGACCAGTACTTTTTACAAGTTTCAGGGTCATGAAAGATAAGGGAAGACTGAGGGACTGTCCCAGATTGGAGAGGAAATAAGAAGACACAACTGAATGGAAAGTGGGGTCCTGGAGTTGGTCCTTGGCCAGAAGGACAGCAGTGGGGAAACTGGGGAAATCCAAGTAAAGTCTGTAGCTAGGAAGGTCACACCAGAGTTAATCTCCTGGTTTTGATAGTCACACAATGGTTATGTCAATATGTTAATATTTGAGGAGTCTGGGTGAAGGGTAGATGGAAACTCTCTGAAGTATTTTTGTAATTTTGTATAAGTCTAAAATAACTTCAAAATACGAAGTTAAAGAAAAAAGAATTTAAAATGTCCTTTTCAGCGGGAAGTCTCCAATTATAGAGAATTGTTTTGGTAGGTTTAATTGGCCTGGCAGATGTGAAACCATAAACTGGCTTTTAAAAAAAATGAATTATAATACAGAACTATTCAAAGTAGATTCTCCCTACCTTAAGGGAATAATTGAAATACCAAAAATTAAAAAAAAAAAAATCAAAGCTTGCCCTGTTGACAAAATGTACCATTGATACTGTGAAAGTAAACATTCACTAGTATATTATAAAACATACTTATGACATGTATGTGGAAAAGAACTTTATATTTGTCCAACTGACATCTTTTCATTGCACATCCCAAATCCTGACTTCCAAAAGCATCGTAGTAAACCTAGTGGTGTTTTTCTTTGGTTAAAGCTGTCTTTGTTATCAAATTTGGCATTAAAGGTGAGAAAAGAAAAAGAAAAGAAATATGTATTTTTTAAAAAAATTAAAAATAAGGCTGTCTTAACTCCAGGGAGAAAAATAAACAAAGGCTCATACAACCTGATTAAGAAGTTTTAAGATTCACTAAGTTACTGACATTGGGGAGACTGGTACGGGTGTGTATTTTTATTTGAGAAACTTCTTTGCTTTTCACAGCATTGGCCCAGGGCTTTTTGGAGTTCCCGCTCTATTAACTTTTTCAGGAGAGCTGAGCACAGCCTGTTACTTGGATCTTTATTAAACTAGAGCTCTCACAGGCTCCATATTCAAGATTCATTAAGTGACAAATGCCAGAAAGAAAGACAGATTACCTGGAAGGATCCTGGATTCATTGTTAACGCACTTCAGAGTTCTCTGATCATGATGATTAATAATCTATGTAACAGTGACATTTTAATGAACACCTTTCATTTCTGCCATGCTTTGTGGGCTGTATAGCATTTCCTCATTTTATTTTGTCAACAACAGCGAACATTGAGTACCCACCAGGAGTGGGACTCGGATTCTGCCCTTGAGTCACTGCCAGCCAAGCTGAGGAGTGCAATGGATGCACAGGACTAAACCCCTCCATCAGTTGAAAGAAAACCTAGAAATTGGGCACCAAGGTAGGAAAGAGGTGCAGCCATTTAGGGTAGATGGAAAAACTTTCTGGTATAAGTCAGAAGGCTGTTCTAGCCCTGCAGTGGGGAAGTAGGTGGCAGGGGCAGGTACCCAGCCAGGGAAGTGAATGGTAGTGAAGTGCCATGCCATGTTTTAAAGCAAGAATGTACAAAACCACACTTACAAAGATTTATTTGAAACGATATGTAGAACCAATCAAGACTGGTGGAAAAAACTGAAGAAAAGAAGACTAACTGGTACCTGTTATTAATAAAATTAGCTGATACTCATTAAGAGGTCGCTTAACCAGAGCCCATGCTAAAGTCTTTATGCGAATAATCACATTTAATATAGTCCAGTATTCCTCAGAACATAAACTCGGGTTAGTTGATCACAGAACTGGGACTTTATTTTATTTTATTTTATCATTTTTTTGAGACAGAGTCTCCATCTGTCACCCAGGCTGGTGTGCAGTGGTGTGATCTTGGCTCACTGCAACCTCTGCCACCCAAGTTCAAGTAATTCTCACGGAGTAGCTGGGATTACAGGTGTGTACCACCATGCCCGGCTAATTTTTTGTATTTTTTAGTAGAGACGGGGTTTCATCATGTTGGCCAGGCTGGTCTTCAACTTCTGATCTCAGGTGATCTGCCCGCCTTGGCCTCCCAAAGTGCTGGGATTTATAGATGTGAGCCACCGCGCCCAGCTGGCAGGGACTTTAAACCAGTACTTCACATTCAAATAATTATAATGGTAGTAATAGGAAGATAATGAGGGAGATGACTTTGTACTAAACACCCACAACAGACAGGCGCTGTACTCAGTGCTTTGTAGCTCAGTGCTGTGCTCAGTGCTTTGCCTGGACTTGTTGGGGGAATGGGCAGGGGAAGAAATGAATCAGCACTCTGAATGCAGACATGCTTGAAATATTTTGTCAGCTTGTGAGCCTGAAGATAAGGCTGTGCTGCTAATGTATCAGGAAAGACCAAGATGGCAGCCGGTGGAGAGGGAGAAGGGGCACTGTTTTGCTTTAAGCAAGCTGGGGACCACTTCCTCGTGTTGGGGGGAAAATGATGATACATAGTAAAAGAAGAAAAAAGGGTCAGTTTCCTTAAATGTCACCTAAATAGTGCAAACTACAATTTTTCAAGAGTATAATCAATTATTGGGTGATCCTTAGTGAGTCTGGAATTGTTAAGGATAAATAACATTTTTTTTTTTTTTGAGAGGGAGTCTTGCTCTGTCGCCCAGGCTGGAATGCAGTGGCGTGATCTCGGCGTACTGCAACCACCGCCTCCTGGGTTCAAGCAATTCTCCTGCCTCAGCCTCCCGAGTAGCTGGGATTACAGGTGTGAGTCAGCACATCTGGCTAATTTTTGTATTTTTAGTAGAGACGGTGTTTCACCATGTTGGCTAGGCTGGTCTCGAACTCCTGACCTCAGGTGATCCGCCTGCCTGGGCCTCCCGAAGTGCTGGGATTACAGGTGTGAGTCACTGTGCTAGCCAAGTAATCCAATTTTTAAAAATGGGTAGGTTTTAGTTAGTAATGTCCTTTACTTTCTGAAGTCCGATATAAAAGGCAGGAATTTTTGTTCATATTAAAAAGTCATCTGGGATAGTTTCAGAATTTTATGTCTCAAATTACTGCCTTTTATTTTTCTGGTTAACTGTGTTTGAAAGATACATTTTTAGCTATTCTTGTTATTATTGTTGGAGTTATGCATATAGAAATATACATTCAAACAATGTAGGAGGCACAAAATGAGCAGTTTAAATTGCCTCGCCCTAGTACCTCAGAGACTGCTTTTAATTCTGGTGGTTATTCACACTGCATTTAAATTGTTTAACTCAGAAAGGACACATATTTTTAATGCTTATTAAGAGTTTCATTGTGTACAAAATGGTGTAGCATACTGTGTCACTTTTATGAAAAGGCAATGGCCCATAATACATTTTAGAAACAGACTTTATGGAAATTTTCAGCAAAGAGCTCTAAAATGTTGATATTAAATGTAAAAGTATGTTTTTAGTACATGCCACAACCATGAACAGCTTCATTCCATTACTAAACAGTCATTAAAATATTCATCCAAATTCTATTTGAATAACTTCCATGCCTTGTAAAATCTGAAGAACTTTTTAAATTGATGGGTTATTAGAATGTTAAAGAAAGAAATTTGCTTTTAAGACCAGCCTTATCAGAATTCATGAAGGCTATATTGTGGCATAAATATATATATTATAAATGTTGGGGAAACAAAAAGAAAAAATCATGTAAGAATGGATAACTTCCTGTTGACTATAACATTACCAATTTTTTGTTTTGGGATTTTTATTAAAGCAGTCTCTAGTATTGTCTTCTCGTACTTTTCAGCCACATAGTTCAACTCAAATCAGAACATGATCCTCCAACTTTATATTCATTAACAGTAAGGATTCAGACAAGTGTGGATTGCCTTGTTTATGTTGCGGGCTCCGCCTGTGAACCCTCTGGGTTGCTGCTGCAAGACGGATTTTCATCCGCTTCCTCATTTGATCAATTAACCCGGCTTCGGTCATTGTTTCAGCAGCCCCTGCACAGGCAGGCTCTCCGGCCTGACCCGCCAAGTCTCCACTAGAGCCTCTTTCATTTCACCTAGAGAGTCTGGGGAAGGCGCTGGACAGCAGTTCCTTTGTCTAATTGCATAGGATCAGGGTGACAAACTTTAAAAGGGTGTTTGCATCAAGAGTGGTATTTCAATTTGCCTTGTTAAATTATTTTCTCCTTTTGCTGATAGCATGCCTAATTTTATGAAATGCCATTATGTTCACAGGAAGGAGATGGGAGAGGGGAAGGGTTAACGTAAGAGCCAATGCTGCAGTCCATCTCAGCCCCTCACCCAGCCTACATGTCCATTAAGACCAAAATTCTACCTCAGGGCACAGCTGCCCTTCAATACTGTTCCTTCTGTTGTCTCACCGTGTTGTAGTCCACGGTGACCGCAGGTGCTCTGACACAGAGAGCAGTCCTCTGCCCTCCATGGCACCCCTCCCGGGGAGGGGGAAGTCCTGGCTGGTCCTCTCCTTTCCTCGACTCGCCCAGGGTTGGCAGAAAGGGCAGCTGGTGGGGGAGGGGCAGGGGTGTCTGAGCAAAGGGACACCGTCACTCTTTGCAGGGTAAGAGTCCTTAATCTGCAGTCCCTCATCCCCAAGGGGTAGAATTACCTCTTAATCTAATTTACTTTATAACCTAAACTCACTCTTCTGAGAAGGGTTCTATAGGAGTCTTCAGCCTGGCAAAGGGGCCTGTGGGACACAAAGTGTTAAGAACCTCTGGAAGGTGGCACCATTCTTCCCTCCAGCTGAGCAGTAATGGCCATTTCTGAGTGCTCAGCCACTCTCTTTGCCTCCCCCACCCCAGTTCCAGCCAGATATATAGTAAGGAGTCAATCAAGACTCACAATATATTTTTTAAATCTCTTTATTATTTATGGAATTTTACACAGCCTGAGGCATTTTTGATTGAGGGCATAAAGAGTGTGTGAAGAGATGAATCTGCATTGCCACTCCCAGCCCATTCTGTAACCCCTGCCACTGTGGCTGTTCATTTCAGAGTGGACTGAGGTTCCACAGAGCAGCTGAAGAGCTGTGAATGGTGGTTAATTGCAGTGATGTTAATTAGCATGTTATAGGAGGTAAGAAGAGGGGATTCACATTTCTCTTTTTACTGCTTCAAACAAATGATCTAGATCTTTGCTACAGAAGCCACTGGCCACATGTGGCTATTTAAACTGAAATTAATAACAAAGAAAAATTAAAGATCAGTTCCTCAATCACACTAGCTACATTTCCAGTGCTTGATAGCCACATGTGGCTAGTGGCTGCCATGTTGGAGAGCATGGATACAGTACATTTCCATCACCACAAATATCCATGGACAGTGTGCTGCTAATTCTCTACCTCGCTGACCTTCTGACTGCAGAGCCTAGCCTGGGCCTGTCCCTCTGGCTTCCTCCTTCCCCCATTCCCTATCCCACCCCTTTGTCTCCCATCCTCATGCCTCTCCCCACCTCCCTCACCTCACCAATATCCTTGTCATGGAAATGTGTGTGTGACAGGGTTCCCACTGTGAGTTCAGCTCCACCCTTTTGAAGTGATTCAGCATATTAACGACCTTACCTCCCTGCAATGCCCTGTGAATTAGGAAGGGCAGGCATATCCTTTTCTTTTCTTTTCTTTTCTTTTTTTTGTAACCAGTGGGGAAAAAGGCTCAGAGAGCAGTGATAAGTAATTAACTCGTCCAAGGTTGTACATGGACAAAAGCCATCTTCTGATTTCTGGTACAGGCTTTTTTCTCATGGTTGGAACTTTGTAAATGTTTAGGGCAGTCAGGGTCTTAATTTCAAAGATAGCTATGTTCAACATTTCCTGTGTCTGTCAGCAGGGTATCACTGTGGAAGTGCACGGGAGTGCAGCAGGGAGATCTTGCTCCTCAGCCACAGGCCACCTGGCTTTGTCAGTTTCCTCATCTGGAAAATTTGTGCAGGGAGTCATTACAAAATGATGCTAAGATTTCCTCTGGTTCCAATATTCAATGTATTTTTTGATTACTTTTTACTCATATGGCTTGATTTATTTCCCAGATGATTCAAGAATCCTTTTCAAAAGGTTCTCCCCTTGCTCTGGAGCGGCCATCACTGTGGCAGCTACCTACTGGCAGTGCAATAGCAGGCCATCTCTAAGGCAACACCTGGAATTGCCTGCCAATCCCTCACCACCCAGCAGCGCCAGTGTCTTCCTGGAGCTCATGAGAAATGCAGAACGCCAGGGCTGCTGAACGTGAATCTGCATTTTATCCAAATCCCAGGTGATTCGTTTGTATCGCAAAGCTTGAGGAACTGTGATCCAGGCCCTAGGAAAGCAAGAATGAGCACAACTCACCTAAGTAGAACTTGGTGGGAGGGGAATCAAGCAGACATGGGGTATGTGCCCAGAGCTCCAAACCCTCCTAGCCACACTGGGACATGGCTGTCCCCTCAGGGCTTGTCCAGGTGAGTCTGAGCTCCTTCCCTGGGTACAGTCATTCTCTCTGTGTAGAGAACACCTTTGGCTCTGGAGTCCATTTACTCAGGGACTCATCGTCTGCACTCACAGCCTCTTTCCTCCATCTCATTAATACTCAATTGAAGCACTCTGATTCGCAGCAGGCTTTTTATGCACACCCTGTGGTCCTGTAAGACCTTTAAATGTAGGAATTAGAATACTGGTTCTACAGGATACACCTGGAGTTAGGTGGACTTTGGGCAATGTGCTTATTAAGTCCCCAAAAGGCTCAAGGGAATGCTGACTTTACATTCTGGGAGTCCAAAGAAGACCTAGAGAAACATGAGGGAAGGAAGAACAGGATTTCATCAGATTGGGATTTGGGAAATGGCTGTTTCAACTAGAGGAGAGGACAAGGTGGGATTTAGTGTACAAAGACCCAAGGCGCTGTCCTCAAAGGCACAGAGAGCATCACCATGTCATCCAAGCCCTATGGAGATGGGTGGCTGGGACGTTCTGGGGCTGGCGCTGACCACCTGCCTGCTCTTGGGAGGGGAAATGGTGATTCATCTGCAGGAGCCCCTGGTGTCAGCCAATGACTGGATGTGAAATTCAAGCTGGACCTGGATGTTCCTAATCTGCCTTACCTCACAGATGGGAAGAACAGGATCGTCCACAATCTTAGAACGTCCTGGATCGTCCCGCGGCGCTCGCAAGCACGCTTCTTCAGAGTGGTGAGACTGAAGAATGAAAGGTGCCAGGAGACATCAGGGAGGAGCAAATGGTGGCATCCCACCTGCAGCGGAAACAGCTCCACCATGACCCTGACCATGAAACATGGAAGCCTCCATACTTGGAACTGCAACCTGGGCACCTGAAACATTTCTCCTTGTTTCTGAGGAAATCATGGTTTCCAGGGAGAAAGCTCACCTTTTTGGATATTCTTACCTGTGAAGTCTTAGATCAGAACTGTATGTTTGAACTCAAGTGCCTGGATGAGTTCCCAAATCTGAGGACTTAATGAACCACATTGCAGCTTTGGAGGAAAGAGCTGCCCCTGTGCAATCTGTCTGTTCTGCAGGATGCCAGTCAGCAGTGAGATGGACCAGTGGGGACCAAGAGCGTATGCTGAGCAGGAGGCAGACTCACACTGCATGTTCCGTTCCATCCTGTCTCTAGGGGCCTGCACTCTATCTTCTCTGCTCTTTTCAATAACACTTAGGCTAAAAAACAAAACAGAAAAGTCTAAAGCAGAGAGAAATTCAAGATAGAACTCTAAGACCAGGTGGCTTAAACAACAGAAATGTATTTTCTTACAGTTCTGGAGGCTGGAAGTCTAGGATCAAGGTATCGGGAGGGCTGGTTTCTTCTGAGGCCTCTCTCCTTGGCTTGCAACTGGCATTTCCTCCCCATGTCCTCACGCGCTGTCCCCTCTGTGTGTCTGCGCCCTAATTTCTTCTTCTCCTAAGGACGCCAGTCACACTGAAGTAGGGCCTCTCCTTATGAATCACTCTCACCTAGCTCACTCTTTAAAGGTTCTACCTCTAAATATGGCCACATTTTAAGACACCGGGGGTTAGGACTTCGACATGAATTTTGGGGCACATGGCTCAGCCACTCATCTCCACAGCGTCTTCTGAGGAATGAGAGTGGCTCTTTCTGCATGCAGTTGTCACACCCTGTGCCTGTGTCATGTGTTCCTGTGCCTTGAATGTCTAAGTCAAAAGTAGCCATATGGGCTGGACTTCAAGAAGCCACTTGCCCCTCAGGTGTTTTGGACACTGAACCTGACCAATGGGGGCTCTGCAAACTGGAGGTGCCTCCCTGACCCAGTCAGATTCTCCCCCTAAGAAGGGGGACTGCCACATTCTGAGAGCTCCTTTGTCATAGGAAAAGACCAAGTCACTAGCTTTGAGGATGGGTCCTGAGGGAACAAGAGCCATAGTTCTGGATCTGCACGAGGGCAGCTGTGTGTGCCAGGCTTGGCCATGAGAAGCCAGAGAAATGGGCCAGCTGCTATTTAGTCTCCATGTCCCTTGCTACATAGTTCCCTGTGCTAACTGCCTCCTTGCCACCCAAAAACTCTACTTAGTACAGAAAGACACATCAACCAAGGAACACACGGGGAAAGAGGCCACTAAGATGGGCCATTAAGTCATGAGTGACCTCTGGAGACCAATGCTAGGTCTAGGATAAAGGCAGAGTAAGAGCTCAAGTGTCTGTGTCTTTGGGGTCCCCCAGGTGCAGACCCTGAGGCAAAGATTCATGTGCAAATAGTTAATTGGGACCAACAAGGAAATGGAAAAATGAGAAAGTGAAGGGAAAAAAAAATCAACACAAGAAGTGGTAATGAGCAGATTGCCACTGAAGACAACTAGGGGTCAGTCCCACTGGGAGGCCTGTGGGAAATGGCGAACATGTCTCAGGGTTGTTCCACCTGGGGCCAGGAAGCTGGGCCGTATATCCTGCAACCTCTACCTGAAACTAGGTGAAGACCATGAACTTCCAGCACTAGCCACCTGTCTAATGGGCCCAGCACCCTCTTGCTCCACCTCCAGGCAAAGGCTTGCAGATGCTGGCAGCAAGAAGCCAGTGCAAGGGAAGAGGAGTGTGCAGGGGTTGTGGGCAGTGGCTGCATTCTGCGGCAAGCTCTGCCTCCTCCCCCAAGTCACGAAGCAGGAGTTCCAACCATGGCTCTCTCTGCTCAAAGCAGCTGGCTGTGCACTGGGTGAAAAGGACTGGCAATTTCTGAGAGATACCTTGTGGTCAGACCATCAAGTATCAGATCCTCTGTCACAGACACAAAAAGCTGATTCCTTTTGCTTTACCTTCTACATCTAACTATCCTTCATTTCAAACCCATTCCACACAATTCATCTTCCCCTACAGAGGCTGATGAGGTAATTCTTTTATTTTGTAACTAGCAGAGTTAAAAAAAAAATGGAGAGATCTGGAAGTAGATACTTAAGTAAAATTCCTTTTAATAATTCTTGTGGTTGGACACAGTGGCTCACATTTGTAATCCCAGTGCTTTGGGAGGCCAAGGTGGGAGGATAGCTTGAGGCCAGGAGTTGGAGACCAACCTGGGAAACACAGTGAGACCACATCTCTACATAAAAATAAAAAATAGCTGGGCATGGTGGTGCACACCTGTGGCCCCAGCTCTTGGGAAGACTGAGACAGGAGGCTCTTTTGAGCCCAGGAGTTCAAGGATGCAATGAGCTATGATAGCATCACTGAACTACAGCCTGGGTGTCAGAGCGAGATCCTGTCTCAACAAAACAAAAACTTGCAAATCTCTCAGATTAGGGAGCCCAACACTATACCCAGAAGAACATGTTAACTTATTTTACCTTTTCCCCACATTAGACAAAAAGGTAATCATTTAATTAAAGCAGTAAGATGAATTGGCTACTTAAAAATCTATTTTTTTTTTTGGTGCCCTTTATCATCCTGTGGGGAGAGGGGAGTTGCTCATGTCATTGAAACCATGGAAGGCCCAGGCCCAGCAGTGAGAACAGGCATCAGAGTGTGCCCCTCAGGTAGACCCTCAGCCTACTCCCTCTCAGTTCTCAGGGGACACTCGCTGGCCAGGATGGCCACTTGGCACCCAGTGGAGGTGCTGGTATACATACAGGCTTCCCCGAGGATGCCAAGGGGTTGGCCCAGCCCCCACTAACCAGGATGGGACCTGGGCACTGGCTGCCAGAGAAGAACTGGCAGAACCCTGCCCCATGGAGTAGCCACCCAACTAACCGCCTTCTGCAGAGTGGGAGGGCATCTGTGTCCTCCCCCACCCCTGCCCACTCTCCTGGAATAGGAGAGGATGCCCTGGTAGATCCCACCTCCACTCCCAGAATGCTTTTCTTTGTCAGAACACTGGCTTGATTATAAGATCGGGTGCTTAACTTCTCTGAAACAGGCTCTTCTGCAGAAGGACAGATTGGCTATGATGATCTGATTTGATGATGAGGAGAAGCACGGAGAAGGCGCCTGGCCTAGAAGGTGCTCAATACGTGGCATCAGTGATGGTCATCGTCTTCAGGTGCGAGAGAGGTCAGCGATCTGGGGCTTTCTTTGTATCGTTTTATGAAGAAAGGTAAAAATACCACAGGCGAGAACAAGCAACAAAGGGCGGACGGGATTTTTCATCTGCAGCTTTTAACTGATACTTTTAAGTATTGAGCTATTCTTTTGTTAGGACAGAACACGTTATTCCATTAGAAGGGAACATTTTGGGTTGGTGGAAGTGTTCCACGTCCTGCGTGGGGTGACAGTTACACGCATGTCACATCAGCAGCCTGAGGAGGGAGGGGAGAAGGACTGGATACCTTCAGCCTCTTCATCGCACTCCAGGCACCAAGTGCAAGGGCAGGGAGTTTTCATTATTTAGGGAATGCAGCCCTGGTGTAGAAGACACCTCGTGGGGATATCTCGAATCCCGCAGGTGCCTGAGCTGCGCTCCGCGCTCCAGCCGGGAAGCCTTTTCTTATCCAACCTCGCCGCCCCGCGGAAAGTCTGGGTACTGCAGACGCCCTCATCGGCCCACCGACAGCTGGTTTTGAAGCGGGGGCTTAGGAAAATAAAGGGGTCAGTGTTTGGAGCCACGATGCCTTTGATGTGAGGCGGTTCCACCCAACAATCAACGAATCAAGTTGTAACTGCAGGCCCTACTCTTGTTGGGGGGAGGACCTTGAGGAATGTCACACCCTTGTCCCCTACCCGCTGCCCCACGCCTAGCCTCTCAGAAAGGCACCAGGCGTGAGTGGAGTGCGAGGCGTCCACACCCTCGTGTCCTTTCCATTCCCGGACACCTCTGCACGCTAGCCGAGGCCTTAGCACGGAGTGAGGGTTGCCCGGGGTGCTCTACTGGGTGGGGGTGTTCTTGTCTCCCGGGCCCGGACCCCACGGTCCAGGTCGGCGCGGCGTCTCCCCCTGGCGACTGGACGGTGCCCCTGCCCCGCTTCCAGGCGGCGAACGGCAGGAGCCGGGGGTCCGGAGGGACCCGGATCCAGGGCGGGCGGAAGGCGAGGGTCTCTCCTTCCCAGAACCCCCGCCCCGCAAACCTGCACCCAAACCGGGTCCCTCCTCCGCATCGCACCTGCGCTCCCCGGGCCGCCTCCCCACGCGGGCACCCACTCTCCAGGCCCTCGTAGCACCGCCCTCCCAGTGTCCACCCGCGGGGCCGACGCCGCCAGGGGCCCTGAGATTGCGGAGACCAAGCGCCCCGGCGCCTAGTGGGGTCTTCCCAGTGGCCAGAGCGCTCCTGGACCAGTCGGCTGTGGTCTGCGCCCAAACACGATGGAAACCGGGGCTGGGACTGGCGGTGGTACGCACGTGGAGAAGAGGCACGGTAGGAAAACCACAGCAGAAGATAGGTCCACTCGCACCTCCCACGCAGCCGCGCACCCGCCGCCGTCTGACTCGCGGCTCTCCCCAAGATTCCGAGTCGCCGCCGCCTCCTGGCACCACTCACCCGGCTCCGACCGGGGCCGCGAGTCCGCTGATGCGCAGTTGCCTCCCGGCGGCTCCCGAGCTCGGCCCAGACCCGCGCGCAGAGACGCTCGGGAACGCGGGGCTCGGGCGCCTCCTGGCGGCGGCAGCAAGAGGCACACGCGCTGTTCTCCCGCCCGAGGGGGCGCGTGGAGCCGACCCGGGATCCGCGCGCGGGCCTTGACTGCAGGCCCGCATTTCTTCGCTTGCTCGGATGGCGGCGCTGAGGCCTATTCGCCTCTTTATTAATAACGATGCCTCGGGAGGGAAAAAACAGAACCTTTAAAAATCAGAGTGCGAGAGAGGAGTGTGTGTGTGTGTGTGTGTGTGTGTGTGTGTGTCTTGGGGCGTTGGTGAAAGCAATAAAACTCAGATCGCTTCCTTGGCGAGATAGCGGCGGCTATAATGCGCCGGGGGGATCAGGGGTTTATTTGCAGATCCTGGATAAAAGATGATATATCGACACGGTTTAGAGTGTCACTGCGCCTGGCCTCTCAGGAAGCCACAAGTACATATTTCCTGAAATACCGCCCAGCACAGTATCTAATCCTCCCGCCACTTAACACTGGGAGTGGAACGTCAGCACCGCAGAAGCGCGCTCCCGGCTTCCTGGTTCTGGGTGGGGAGAGCCCAACTGGGAAGGATCTGGTGCGCCTAGACGCCCCCTCCCCTGGCCTCTGTCTTCAGTCCAAGTAATCACTTAGCGATGGGCCTTAATAAATACGTCTGAGAACTGTCCTTATGCTCGGTAAATATTGGATTAGCTTTTCAATGACCAGGCTCTTGAAAAGGCTCGAGAAATCCACACCAGGTCTCAACTAAGCCCAACAGTCAATAGGTAAGGAAATAAGTTATTTCCCAATCTGAGGTGGGAACGTTGAGAAGGGGGGCTTCCACTCTTACCAAATTATCTGATTCTACTAAATATGACCCTTGTACTAAATAGGAAAGGGGGCGCATCCAAGTTTCCCATTAGTCGGAATTTCCACCAGCTCAGTTCTGTTCATTAAGGGCTGAGTGACTTTGTGGGGAACATATCTGGGTTCCATTTTTTATTTCCACAGAGCTCAGCATCAACTATTTTTGTTTAGTACATATGGTTTATTTGGGGACTGCTTATGGGAGTTTTGACCTGGCAATGGCAGGGGAGAAGGCATGACCCAGATTATTTCCGACTGCCTCGCGCCAATTTGAACCGCTTAGAGGAGGCAAAAAATGAGCAAATTCCTTGGAAGCCCTGCTGTGTCTCCCTGGTACTGAATTTTGTAAGCACACGATACAAGAGACATTGAAAATTAAAGAGGAAGTATCTCCCTCCTCCAACATGGGGAGAGACGCTGTTGGAAGAAGTTTCTGAAGTGGTTTCCCATCGCACCAAGAGGCCAGTGGGATGGACCCTCGCGCGTAATTCAAATGAACCCGCGCGTCTTTAGCTCTTTGGGGTTGGTAACGAAGTGGCCCGGCCAGGCGCAAGTCGCCTTGGAACAGGCTGCAGCCCAAGTATAGTTGGGCCCGGGACTGAGCGGCGCCCTTGGCCTCTCAGAACCTTTCTCGCGGTGAGTGGAAGGGCAGCTCGGCGCGCGGGCCCTTCGGGGCCGGTGGGTTGCGAAATCAGGGGGGTGGATTTTCATCTACCCAGGAGCCGCTAAGCCCCTAGGGGACCGAGCATCACCTAGGCCCTGGGTACCCTGAGTTGCCTCCCGAGCCCCAGGACGACCCGATGGTGCAGAGCTCCCAGGCAGAAGTTAGTTTCCTGATACACACACAGGAGTGAGCAAAGTGGGCACAAGTGAGCCCAAACCCTGAAGGCGCAGGTTCGCGGACTCCCGTCCCAGCGTTAGCGTCAAGGAGAGAGAAGAAGAAAGGAAGGAGAGAAGTGAGGAAGAGAGAGAGAGAGATTATGAGAGTAAGAGATTATGAAAGTAGAGAAAGAGATTATGAGAGGAGAGAAAAAGAGAGATTTTGAGAGAGAGAATAAGAGAGATCCAGCTTTCAGTGTCACGGGGCCTAGGCGGGGCAAGCGCCCTCCGAAGCCATCAAAGACAGGGGTGGCTTTTTCTCCCCTCCTCCAACCTCCTCCCCAATAGATATAGCACGAATTTTTAATGCGTCTTCCTTTCACAGACAACAATACAGGGTTTGAAAGCCGGACACAATTTAGGTTTTGTGCGGGTCCCTCCTCGCGCTCCCTCGGCCCAGCTGGCCATATGGAATCCAGCATGGAGCCCGCGGATGACAAAGGGACCCAGTGACAGGCCCAACAAAACCCCAAGGAGACTTCTGCCTGACTCCGGGATTCACTGCCCGCGATAAGCGCGCTGAATGGTGCGGGGTGGGGCGGGGGGTGGGGGGCGGGCCCCTTCTCCTTCTTCCCCTCTCTCTGTCCCCTCGATCCTTTCTCTGTCTCTTTTTAATATGCACGCCTCTAACATCTCCGGCTCCCAGCTTTCCCATTGTGCGGTTTTGTACCGCCCGCTGTAGATTGGGCGAAGATAGACTGCTGAAGCGGACCCCGCGCCGGGTGCGCTCCCAGGGCACTGGGGTTAGGGCCACACAGGGCTCCGCAGGCGCTTTTATTGACTCCGTGGGGACCCCAGGACAGAGAGAGGCGGAGGCCGGGCCCACCTCCCGGGCTCTCGGCCGGCCGCAGAAGCGCACACCCAGATTGCAGGCCCGTGGTCCTGGCCACCGCTCCAAATGTGTCCTCAATGAGCAAGCGGTGGAAGCCTGCCAGGGTGAGGACCTTCCACGCTTCCCCCTTCCTCTCTGGAAACCTGGGGGTCTCTTGTGATCATTCTCACCCTGGAAGCCCTGGGGCCTGGAAGAGTCAAAATTTCTTCAGGCCTTCTGACAACTCCGCTCCAAGAGACTTGAAACCCCCACCTTTCCTCCCAGAGGATTTTGGGATTAGGGGATGTTGAGTGGTTAGTACCAGGGCATGTTGGGCATTCAATTATTGCACAAAAAACTATTTGGGAGAAATTCGTTGGCCTTTCGAAACCGCAAGACATAAGCCCCCAAACATTGCCAAGGTAGTGTGGAGAACAAAGGGAGACCTTTTAGCATTTAGAAAAACTGCCCTTTCCCCAAGGATGAGCCTGGAGATGGGAAAGGACCTTTACTGGGGTATTAGAAAGGCTCCCGAGCCCTCAATTATCCAGGGGCGGTGTGGAACGCGGGAATAAAGTGTCATCGCGTCCCTGGGCTTCTGCGCTGAGTGCTATCGACGCGCAGATTTGGTCGCACGGATAATCATGTTTGCTTTAGATATTGAATTAAACCTGATCATCAACTAGAGGGAGCGAGAAAGTCAGCTGGGACCGCTCCCTTTGCCCGGCCTCCTCATTGCCACACCACTCCCAGCCTTGATGGTGCAGCTTCGGAGAGAACAGAGATACAATTTCCAAATGCGCCGACTTTCAGTCTCCCGGCGTCTCACAGCACCCGCTGGGCTCTGAGCTACAGAGCCCCAAGTATTTTTAGAAACCCGCGAGGTAGAGGAGAACGGCTCGTCCTCCAGTTTGCCAGGCTTCCTAAGACGCTCCCCCGCGTGGCCAAGTGTGCGCGAGCATCCGCCAAGGAGATCTGCCCCCAGCGACAAGGGTGGGATGGAATCAGTTCCCCACCGGAAAGATGGATGCGCCCTTCCCGGGCGAGCCCGGGGCTGTGTGCCTGCTTCCAGTCCGGGGCGCTCACCGCACCCCCAAACCTCTACTTCCTAGCAATCCACCCAGTCCCACGCCCAGGGCTGACCTGCGGGGACCGCACACCGCCGAACGCTGGAGGGAAGGAGGCCCGGGATCCAGTCCCCGGAGAGAGGCCAGGAAGCCCGGAAAGGATGGGAGCGGAAGGGAAGGGGGAGGCACGGTTTTCTGGGATTGCCAAAGACTCTCGCTCCCTGGCTTCCTGGGGCCAAAGAGCCTAGAGAGGGCTGCAGGATCCCCTCCCTCCCCCGAGCCCAGGACCCCGCGTACTTCCCCCACACCCCCTAAGCCAAAGCCTAGCTCGCCCTGATCGCTCCCACCCCCGGCCTCAGCGGTCTCCTAGGTCAGCATCAGCCCGCAGACTTTGAAAAGGGGTGGGGATTGGGGAGAAGGCAGCCAGTCTTAACCTCAGACCCCCACCCACCCACTTTCTTAGCGTGAGATAAGTCAAACGCAACAAAGTGAAAGTCATCGAGTGTAGTGGCTTCAACAGCTTCTCAGGCTGAAGAAGCCACTCGTAGATTTGGGCCAGCGAGGGGGGTTTGCTCTCCTCGCCTTTGCGGCTCCCGAAGTCACTTTTCCTCCCGCAGCCGGACGCTGCCGCCCGGGGTTCAGACAGCGCGCGAGACCAGGGGAGAGGCCGGGGAGAGGGTGGGCGACCCTGGGCTTCGGGCCGACCGCTCGCAGGCCGGAAGCCGAGCGTTCCCGTCCCCGCCTCAACCCTAGGCGCGGGGTGCAGCCTGTGGTCGGAGGGGTCTGCACCGGGAGCCCCGCCCGCCCCAGGGCCCCCATGCCCCGGCCTCCCCGCCCGAGAGGAACCGCCCGTGGAAGCCCCGCGGGCGGCCAGGCCTGGTTCCCAGCCCCAGGCCTCTGGCCCGACGCAGGGCGACAAAGTCAGACAAATGGGAGGGCAGGGCTTTTTTCTTTTTTTCTTTTTTAAACACAGGATTTTTATTAAAATTCTTATTTAAAAAATCGAAAGCTTTCTGCGCCCGGCGCTCTTGGGGAACCGCGCCGAATAGCTGAGCTCCAAGTTCAGGGCTCAAGGCCCGGAGGACAGGGCAGGGGGCTCCCTGCCTACAGGGTTTTCTTTTCCATATTTGAGAAATGTTTGCACAATAAAATAAAAAGAGAAAGGAAGAAAGCAGAGGAAAACGCAAACGTAACCAAAACCAAACAAACCACAAAGAAAGGAGTTGGACCCAGAAGGGAAACAGGCCCATCCTGAAGGTCATTTTGGCAACAATCACCACCGATATTTACAACGAAAAGCGAAATCTGCCACCAGTTGTCAGAACGTTTACATGGCCATAAATATTTAGCATTTTCTTATTTTTTTAAAAAAGGAAGAAATTCTCTATATTTTTAAAGTGTTCTCCACTTGCTTTAGAAGACGGCTGACAATGTCGCTACTCACACAAACATATTTTACAAAATTCACGAAAGCAGGGGTGGGGAGTCGGTCGTTTTCTCTTTTTCAAGTGACGACATTAACGCTGGGACGGTTTGGTCCCCCCGGGGAGAGGCAAAGAAGCGAAGCTGCGCAAACATTCTGTAAACACGGCGTAGAGTTCAGCCCTCTCCAAAGGTTCAGAAGGAGAGGCATGGGCAGAACTGGGTGGATGGAATCTGCCACTCCAAGGAGACGCAGGCAACCTCCCGATGCCTCCCTAATGGAGCCGAGAGTCAACTCGACTCCATAATAATAATTATAATAATAGTAATAACCACCATAAGGACCGAGGCCTCCTCGCCGCCACCGCCGCCAGGGTGGGGCCTGGGCCTGGGGCCGCGAGTCTCGTTGGGGCGGCGCTCACCAAGTCCACTGCTGGGCCTGGACCAGGGGGTGTGCTGTCGGGTACTGGGGGGTGCTGGCCGAGCTGTACTGGGCGTTGTACTGCATGTGCTGCAGCGACTGCGCGCTGTAGGCCGAAAAGGGAATGCCCGCCTGGAAGGTGGCGGCTGCCAGGTCCTGGGCTTTGAGCGCGTGGCACGGTTTGCCGTCCCTGACCAAGACGGGCACAGCCACCCGGCGCGGCGAGGGCAGGGGCGTCACCTCCATACCTTTCTCGGCCCGGGCGCGCTTCATCTTGTAGCGGTGGTTCTGGAACCAGATCTTGACCTGCGTGGGCGTGAGGCGAATAAGGCTGGCCAGGTGCTCGCGCTCCGGCGCGGACAGGTACCGCTGCTGCCGAAAGCGCCGCTCCAGCTCGTAGGTCTGCGCCTTGGAGAAAAGCACCCGCCGCTTCCGCTTCTTGCCAGCGTCCCCCCCGCCGCCCGGGGTCTCCTTGTCATTGTCCGGTGACTCGTCGGCCGAGGGCTCCGGGGACTTGGAGCTTGAGTCCTGAGGGGGCGCGCCTGCCGCCAGACCGTGCACTGGGGGGAGGGGGAGAGAGAGGCGCGTCAGGCTTCTGGAGGCCGCGCGCAGCCTGCACCAGACTCGGAGCACCCTGGATCCTCCGTGCGACCCTGGACCTCCGCGCCTGGCAGCCCAGCCCCGCTGCCTTTGCCGTGACCCCTGCCTTGCTCTACGCCTCACGAGGACGTCGGGGCCTCCCAGGGTAAAGAGGGAAATCCGCAGGAGTGGGGCCTAGGGGCTCGCGTTTCAAGGGGCTCACATAGCGTGGGTGAGAATTTTGGGGGGAGTGGCGCACTGAAGATCATCGCGGGTTAAGGGCTCCGGCCCCCTTAAGCGGTTTCCTCTCCGGAGAGACGTGGGCAGATTTTTAAAAGAAAACCCCCACAATCCCAGCATTGATCGGCTTGGTCATTTAAGGCAGGTTTTTGGGGGCTTTCGTTTCTGCTTTCGGGCCTTCTAGACACCCCCTGCACCGCACAAAGCGTCCTCTATGATCGCGCAGGGGGCAGGGTGAGCTATTTATACCCGGGCCACCCAAAGCCTCCCCACCCTCCACCCGTACCCGGACGAGGCTCGCTGACTACCTCCAGGGCGCCAGGCCAGTCCCTCCCAGCGGCCGGAGTCCGGGGGCTGCGGCTGGAGCCATCAGTCCCGGTTGACATCACATACCAGCCCCTGGGAAGTATAGCCCTTCTCCCTCTTTCTCCTTAATTTCTCGCGTTGAAAATAAATTTTGGAGACCAAGTTCTTTCCCGGAACTAAGGGGGCTTGAAGAGGAGGGCAGAGGACATCCTATACAAGTGTTTAAAATCTTTCTAGGAATCCGGGTGAGGGGGTCTGGGCTTACATGGCCCCTTCCCTTTTCACTCCCAGCGTCCAGCCCAGGCTGCGGCCGCAGGAATGGAGGGGACCACGGCCTCGGCAGCCAAGTTTTGCTACTTACGGGAGTACTGGAGGCCCTCGGTGCTGGCCAGCCAGCGCGTGTACGGGTTGTCGCTGCTGTCGTAGAAGGGGTTCTTCAGGGGCAGGCTCTGCACCGCGTCCAGGGCGCCCTGCCCCAGCGGCCCGGCCCTCTTGGCTGGCTCGGGCCCCTCGTTCTCTTCCTCCGGCCCTTCGGCCACAGAGCCCTCCTCATCGTTGGTGTCCGGCAGGTCTAAGATGTCCTTGACCGAAAACCCCGTCTTTGTGTTGGTCAGCGACATGGTTCCAGACCCCAAAATTTATGTCGCAAAGTTGTAGCTTCACTTGGTCAATTCGTGGCGCTCCCCAGCCCCGGCGGGCGGGGGAGGGGGGAGCTGGGGGGAGGAACTGGGGGAGGGGAGGGGAGGGGGGAATTGGCTTTAATTATTGGGATAATTATTATTTTTAAAAAGAGAAAGAAACTGGGGATGGGGAGGAAAAAAATGAAGCCCAACCCAGTGCCTCTGTCTTCTTTGAAAGCACTCGGAAATGGACGCAGGGAGCCGGGCGGCCTGCGCGCCGAGCGCCGCGGGCCCCGGCCTTAGTTTGTAACTCCAGGAGGGGTGCCAAGGCGGCGTCAGCTTGGGCTCAGGCGGCCGCTCGGCGCGCGGTGGCGGCTGGTGGCGAGGAAAAAATGGGCCATTGCCCGAGCGATCAGTCCATATAAGGCTGGGCTCCACTCACGAACCTGGGGAGGGGGGGAGAGGGGGAGAAAGAGAGGGAGGGAGGGAAAGAAAGAGGGAGGGAGGGGGAGGGAGAGAGGGAGCGGGAGAAGGGTGGAAAAAAGGGGGAAGAGACATTAAAAACGCAAAGGTTGGCCACGTGTGGGCGGGTCTTGGGAGTCAAGTGGATGAAGACAGTATTTGCAGATGTGAAATTGTGGGTTTTGGGGAGCTCCGCGCTCCCAGCCAACGGCCCTCTAGAGCAAGATGAGAGGTGTAACGTGTCAATTAATTGCAAAGACGGGGCGAGCCTTTTTTTTTTTTTTTTTAAACCCAGTATTTACATACAAAGGGCCACCGCGTCGCTCGCTAGTCCACACACTTGAAAGGGCCGTTTTAACAAATTGCATCTTAAAAAAGGTGGGGGTGGGGAGGAGGAGGAGAGAAAACAAAACAGAAACCAGGAGGAAGGAAAAATCCTCTTTAACATTCACCGGTTCCTACCTCCCCGCCCCCGCGCACCCACCCCCAGCAAGCCGGAAAATTGGCGATTTGTGGCTCCTTTGGAAAAGGGGGAGGGGGCGAAGGCCGAGCTGCGGAAATCTCTCCTTTCCATCGCTGGTGGTTCCCTAAACAAGATCCGGTTCAAATGGCAAGAGCCCAACTTCTGTAAGCCTCCTAGGTCAATATTTTGGTTGAGGCTTAAGGATGAGTGCTAGAAATGACAAGGCAAGTAATTGATTCCAGTTAACCGCGAGAGAGCCCGAAACCCAGGAGAGAGCTCCGCTCCGGGCGGGCCAGAGCCACCATCAAGCGACCCGCCCCCTTCCAGCCGCCCTTTATTTGCTAAAGACTCATTTATTTCCTTCACTCCGCCTCCCCCTACCTCCCACCCCTAACCCCCCGCCTCCACCTCTTTGCGGCCAAGGAGGACGCGCAGTTACTTTCTGCTTTGCGGGCGGTCCCGGGGAGGGCGGGGTAAGAGTGAGGAGCTCTAACTTCGGCTGGGGTCGGACCCTGGCCCCGCTGCCTCTGGGCTCTGCGGGCCTCTTTCCCCGGGTGGAGGAAAGGGCAGACGGCCCTGCTCTTTCCTGCCCTCTATTATCCCTCCCTCTCCGGTCCCCTCCCTCTCCAGCCTCCGGCTAGAGGTGGAGCAGCGGGAAGGCGGCTGGGCGGGATTGCGGAGGTGGGGGTGGGGGTTGTGTCTCCAGCCTGGGTGAGGACCCAGAAAGCTGCGGAGGAGGGGGGGTTGCTGGGTGGCCCGACGATGCTGCGTTTTCTCCCCCGTTTTCTTCTCCCACGCGAGTTCTTTAGTGTGGTCTCCTTTTGGATGCCCTGGGCGCGTTCGGAGTACGCGCTCCACATTTCCAGGTTAAGTCAGGTTAGTGTGAAGTTTCCAACCACTCTCCGCTCTGGGAACTGAACTTTCCCGGGATTTGCACCTCCTCCTCGGCGCTGGGGTTGGAAAAGACCACGCCGCACTCATAGTTAAAAATTTTTTGTGGGGTGGTGCGGGGAGGTAGAATGGCTACCTGATGCTCGTTCGCCCCAGACAAGTGTCAGGAAGGAGCTTTGTCTGGGGGCGGGGAGGAGCACAGAAGGCCGCCCCTGCGGGGTCCAGGTCTAGTCTTCCCACAACCTGGGCTGCCTGGGCTCGGGTCGAGCTGAGCGCGCGGGCGCCGAGTCCTCCTTGGGCGCAGCTGCCGCGGCCGCCGCCGCGCCCCGGCTGCCCCCGGGTTGCCAGCGCCGGGTGAGGGCACCTCTCCCTTAGCCGCTCGGCGGCTTTCTGCAGCCCTCGCTGCCTCGTCCCCAGTATGTGACGTGGGTGACAATGGCCCAGGTTAGAGCGAGCCCCTCGTCGGCACGTCCTGGGTGGTCGGACCCGGGCAAACACAAATACAAACCGATTGCTAAGCTGCGGACAATGAGCGAAATGTAGACAAATGTCCCGCTCCCGTTGGAAGCCTTTGTCCCAGCTCGGTTTTTGCATTTATTTCAGTGGCGAAATAATACATGATTGACGCTCTCTTTCAATGTGTCCTAACTGTTTGGAATAAATCTAAGGTTGTTCCTAGTTGTCATGGCATTCAACCCTTTTCAATGGACTATCTCTTCATTCATTTCTGAATCCGTCCACAATATTAAGGAAACCCCTTCATGTCGACGCTCCCCGATTCCTCTTTCTCCTCCTACTTTTTCTTTTCTCCTTTCTCCCCCTCCTTACCCCCTTTTTTTCTCCTGGAAGAATTAGAAACTGATGCGTGTTCCTCGAACCTATTACTTTTCGTGCTTTTTTTTTTTTTTTCCTCGCTTTCCATCTCTGTCTTTCTCAGGCCTTCCCACCCGCCCCTTTCACGTGGGAGCTCGTCGCTCTGCCCCGTCGGAGGAGGGAAGTTGGTTCTCCAGGAGTCGGGAAGCGCCGAGTTTGGATCCAGGGGCGGGGGTGGGCCTGCCACTGCTATTGTTACTCAGTTGCTAAATAAATAACTGGTGAGAAAAAAAGTTTCTCATCCCAAGCGTTGCAGCAAAGACCCTCCTTTTGTTCCTCCTCTTATTCCTCAGTCCTAAGGGGGTGGAGGCTCTCTTGGGGACCAGGGCAGCCACCAGGATGGGGGCCCAGAATAGGGCCTGGTTGGGCCAGGCAAATTCTTGGGTCGGGTGGCAAAGGGGTCTTTGGCAGCAAGTGTCGTTTCTTGCATATCCCCAGAGCCATCTTAGGCGGGGGAATGCCCGCAGAGGCCTCCCAAAGCGTGTTCATTTCTTCAGCTGGGAGCCACCTCGCTGAAGTTCCATGTAGTTTCCAACTTCTCTCCCCCTGCCCCAGCATAGTGGGCCTTTCTTCCCAGGATCTAAATCAGCACCGCTGCTACTGATCAAGTCTCCTCCCCTCACCCGTGGGAGCCTGCAAGGTCCCCAGAGCACCTGAGAGAGGATTGCTTTCCTAGGGGAATCCTGGCTCCTGGAATTAATCATGGGGAAGGGGTGCCGCCATAGGCGCCTAGAGAAGGAGGCCCTCAGCCCAGTTCTCAAAGGCCGGGTTTGCCCTTGCGCTTGCCCCTTAGCCTCAATGACCAGCCGAATCCTTCTGGGTCTCAGCTTGAGGTGTCCTCTTGCCGGAGCACCGGAGACCCCTCTTCCCCTGCCCTTGCAGGCCGCCGGCCCCTCCTACACTCTCACCCCAACGACTCTTCCAGTTTTTCTTTCCCCTGGCCTGGGGCAGTTGGGCAGGGAGGGAGAGAACTGGAGAGAGCTTCGGCCTTGCCTCCTCCGCGATCGGTGCTGCCGGGTCCACAGCACTCAGCCTCTCCAGGGACCTCGAGACTCCATTTCCCCATCACTTTTTCGCCCGTGTGGTTCCAGCGTCCGTTTCCAGAGCGTTAACATTTGCAATTGAAAAGGCGCAGGGAGACCGCTGGGAGGCCCGTAATTGGAGGGGAGAAACTGGGCTTGTTAGTGGAAGATCATAAAATTCAAGTCCCCCAGGAGCGGCCTGTGGACGCCGGGAGGCCTGCGCAGACCCAGCTGGCGGCCAGGGCAAGTCCGGTACCCAGAACGCAGTCCAATGTCTCCTCAATTTCTTGGGCCCGGCTTGAGCCCAAAGGGCCTAGGGGCCAGGGGCCAAAAGCACCTTTTCTGCCCCAGTTAAACAGGTGATTGCATCCTGAGGACTCCCCAAGAGGCCTCCCCGCGAGTACCACAGCTCGGCCTTTTAGAGCCCGGGAGCTTCTGTTCCCTGCGATCCCGCACACCCCGAAGGCTGAGAGGCCCTGCCCCACTCGCTTCACCCTCCGGAGAGTTCTTCAGTAACGGCCCACCACCCCCACCCTGTCAGCGTCTGCCTGCACCAGTTTCAGCTCCACTTGGATGACCTCTCGTCTCCCCTACTCTGCATTCTTTAGTAAATTCTTTCCAGGTACCATCTTGCACCCAAGCGAGTTCAATGTCCTCCAATCCGTCAAGTTTGGGTTTGAGCTTTGGGCTCAGCTGCCGTGGTCTGGAGACCTGGTAGGTACTCTGCAAGATGCCTCGTTCTTTTGCGTGCTTGGGGAGGAAGTTGAGGCGGGTGCTGGAAGTTCTGAACCCAGCTTGCCCCGGGCCGGAGGAGATTTGCTTGGCGTCTCCTTAGCGTCCCGAACACCGCACACCCCTGCTGGGGTCACCTGAAAAACTGGATCCTCCAACTCCATCTTTATTATCTGCATTGGGGCTCCAGGTTCCGTACACATCTCTAACTCTATTCATTCTTCCTAGATTGAGAACGGATGCATTGGGAGTCCTAGGCCCGGGAGAAAGGCAAGAGAGGGGAGGAAGAGAACCTGTGCCCCTGGACCCTAGAGGAAAGCCTCTCTCGCTCTGCTGCTCTGGGTTCCGCAACAAATTGAGTTCGGGCTCAGGCGTCTGGAGCAGGCGCGGGGAGGCTGAACAATCGCCGGAGGCCCGGGAGGGGAGGCGAATGTACACAGGCTAAGTGGCCCCACTCCAGGACAAGTGGCCCTCTAAGTCGGCCCAGTGTTTACCTGTTTACTTTCCCAGGTAGCTCAAACACGAGCGCCTTTTCTGCGCTCCAGGGCACGGGGGCCGCCCAGAGGCACCCTGCGTTCCCGACTGCTGCCCTCCCATGCCTCAGCTTTACGCCCCCTGTTGGGGAGGGGGGTGCGCTCTAAACAACAGCAAACCAGGCAAGAAAGGAAGATACAGGAGAGAGCAGGCGAGGCCTCTGCACACCCCACGGAAGGGAGCCTTTCTTCTGCCTGTGGAAGAAGTGGGCTCCGTGGACGGCATTCGACCCTCCCCGCATTTCTGTTCTAGGCACCTCTTGGGAGGCGGCGCTCTGTTCGCATCCTTCCCTGTTCAAGCCGGTGGTGAAAGCTTGCAGTGCAGGTACCTGGCCCCTGTCCTCCAGGGGAGTTAAGGGCAGAAAAAGTCTTCGGAGGTGGGGGATGGGGTCTTGGGGCCTGCTCTAAAGAGGGGGCGACCTTGAGGAGCCCAAAGCTTCAGCAGCCCTAGGCAGCACCCCTCACACTCCCCACCCACAAAACCGCTTCCAATCATTAAACACACAAGGTCTTTCCCCTTTATTTGGAAACACTAATTTGTTTGACTTCATTTCATTTCTTCGTCTTTTTTTTTTTTTTTTTGGAATGAAAAAGGGTTGAAAAGAAACTCCTTTCCTGGTACAGTATGTGGCTGAGCTCTCAGGCCCTCGCACATCCCATCTCAGATAACAACCTTCAAGTGGATTAGTTTATTGTCTGGTTAGCGCCAAGGTGCAAGCGTTTGTCTTCATTCACTCCGGAAACAAAGCGCGTTGCACCTTCCTGCTCCAGCAAGGATTAACGGCGCGGACACAAAGGTTTTGTCGGAGGGGGAAGGTTTATTTTATCTTGGGTTGGAGACTCAGAGCGTGGCATGCACTTGAAATCAATGGGGAAGGAAAATGTCACCCAATCTGGTCCCTGAGTGTGGCGATAAAGACGTTCACCTTAAGGATGGCATCTCCAAAACAGCCCCACTTTGGCTTTGCCTTCCAGTGTGGGAGCAGGGACTGCAGGAAGCAGAGGTGTCAGCTCTCACGTCCTGGATGAAAGAAATCGGGGAATATTACCCTGTGCTGGGACTTTTCCTAACCAGAAAATGAAAATCAGTCCCAGCTCCAATTGTCCTCAACTTCTGCCCCCGGAGAAGGAAACAGGGTCATAGGAATTCCCTTCTGTCTGTGGGATGGCAGAGCGGAGTCTCTGGGTTGGGGAGGCCTTAAGCTGTGTGAACCTGCAACTTTGGAGAGGCCAGACCATGCCCCGCAGATCTCTGGCAGGAGAGACTCACAGCCATTGGGACAGGTGGAAGAGAAAGTGGGCATTAGTGTGAAAAGAAAGGAAATCTCAGCCAGCTTTGGGTTCAAGCCTAAGGTGAGTTTTTTTTCCCCCTTTGATCCATATTATATTAACTCTTTAAATTGCCCCAGGAAGGGAAAGAATGAGTGGATGCCTCCCAGATGGACAATCTTCCCAAGTCAACTAAAAAGGAGTTGGGTAGATAAGTTCTCTAGACCCAGAGACTGAGTTCAGATTCTGTGTCTGAGGGAAAATCCCCACCCCCTTCCTCCAGAAGGGCAGGAACCCCATTGATGCCACTGATCCTGAAGAACTGATCCTGGGACCTAGAGCCCAGAGATCCCTTCGATTAATTGTGGGTGCAGGAGGAAGGCATCCAGGTGAGCTCCCTTCTCTCTATTCTTTTTCAAGGCAAAATATACAACACTTTCCCAATTATCTGCCTCCCTCCCATCACAAAAGGGGCAAGTATCTCCCGAGGATGTAAATAGTAATAGAAATTAGTATTTGCCTTTCTATTAATCAGTCTCATTGTGTGGGCATAAGACCCTGCGGGCATATGTTAGGACTTTGATAAATGCACTTTAATGAGATCTTTAAAAATGCATCCAATAAAATAAAAGACGAAGAAAGCCGTTTAACTTTCATGGATGTTAAATTGAACAAGAACTGTGGCTCCGGGCACTCTACAAAATGGAACCGGCCTCCCTCCAATATTTTCTTTAAAAACGTAGCTTTAAGCCCTCCTCGGGCCAAATGAGCCTGTCCCAGCCAATCCGTTATCACTGGTTTATTGGGGAACCAAACACCACGTCCCCCCGGGCGAACCCCTTCGCTTTATTCGTTCGCGCTGCTCTAATGATTAAATATGTTACAATGAGATTACGCATCGTCAGTGTTGCCTTCAGGAACGTTCTTTCAGCCAAGCCCGACCTTCCCCGGATGAGGGCGATTTCAATAAGGGAGATTTGGGTTTCTCCAGGAAACACGCGTTGAAAGCACTCTCTTATCTGAATTTACTTCTTAACACGTGACAAAATCATTACCACAAGACTTTGGAAAACAAGCGGCTCTCCTAACCGGTTAGCATTCAGCACTTTAAGCTGGGTGGGGCAGGCTGATGTGAAAAGTAGTTGTCAGTGGCGCGGGGAAGGCACGCTCTTAGCTCTAGCTAGGGGCTGGGTCTGGGAAGGACAGGGAAATGCACCCTCGGGCCCTCCGGCACAGAGAGGGGGTTCCTCGGGCTCTCTCTCTCTCTCTCTCTCTCTCCAATGTAGAGGTCCACAACTTATCTCTAGACGCAACGTCCCCTTTCCATCCCCAAGAGCCACCAAAGTCAAGGAGGCGCCAGAGGAGCTCCAAAGGGCCTCCTGGTAATGTGTGTGTGTGTGTTGTGGGAGGAGGTTGGGGCGGAGGGGGCGCCCCTCGGAGGCAAGGACCCCACCGAGGTTCATTTCTGATCCTCTGGCGATCTCTACTGACACAAATGAGAACTGTCCGGCGCCGGGCGTGGCCCGGGCGACACTCGCCACCCAAACTCCAGGCTTCAGTCGCTCTCTCCAGAGACCTCAGTCACTGCGCGGGCCCTCAGCCCCGGCTCCTCCTGTTTGCGACTCCCGCCACTTGCCCTCCTGCTCATCACCACCGTCCCCTCACGTCCCAGTTTCGGCTGAGGAGAAGCCCGTGTCTCCACTGGGCGCCCTCTCCAAATTACCTTCGGGACTTCTGCCTCTGTCTCAATCCCCGATCCCGAGCCCCCCGCGACGCACAGGGTCTACTTACCCGGTGGACTTGTGTGCAGCCGCCGCCCCTTCCTCACCGCAGCCCCGCCAGCTGAGGCGCAACCGGCCCCGAGCAATGGGGAGGGAGCTAGCCAGGCGCTCCGCGCGCCCGCTCCGCCTCCTACTCCCGGAGCTGCGGCTACAGCCCCGCCGCATTTCAAGGCGCGTCTTTATCTACTCCTCCACCTACCCGGACCCCCCTCTCTCTGCGCCCTTCCCCCACCGCGCGCCCTACCAGGCGGGGCTCAGGGGACCGCAGGCGGGGACCGCCGCGGGGACCGCGCCCCTCCCTCTTCCTCCAACCCCCAGCCCCGCACTTTCCTAGCCCCTGGGACAGTACTGCTTTCCCTGACCGCACTGAAAAGTGCGCAGCGGCGGGAGCACCTGGCCTCGGCGGCAGGTAAAACTTTTCCTGACTGCAGGCGCTACAGAGGGGCCCTGCCCGTCCTCCAGTGCTCCCCACTTCCGCCGTGATCCGCGAAGTCGGGGAGAACTTCGGAGGTCCCGCACTTGCCCACCTGCTACGTCCGTACTACGCAGCTTGGGGACCGATCCGAGTCAGGACCCGGGAGAGCGAGGGGCGCGTAACCGGGGTCCGCCGTGAACCCGAGCCCCGGCGCCGCTCGGCGGCGACGGCGGTGCACCGAGACCCCTTTCTGCTGGCAAGCCACTGGGACCGTGCCCGGAGCGCGTTCCCGCGCCGGGTGGCTGCGGCAGGAGGACCAGACAGTCCGCGCCTGGCAGCGAGGGCGACGCCGGGCTTCCTCCATCGCCACCGCGGGGCTCGGCTGCGGGTCTCGGGCTCCGCCGGGCGCCCTGCGCCACCCCCATCCCGCGTCCACCGGAAACGCGCGCGAGCTGGAGGCTCACCTGGAGCGCGGCTGCGCCGCTGGAGCCTCTGCTGGGCGAGCGCGCAGGTCGCGGCCGCTCTTTATTCCGAGTCGCGGGCGGCTGCGGAGTCGCGGGCGCTCGGGCGGCGGCTCGACGCGGCCGGCGAGCGCTCCCCCTCCCGGCTCCTAGCTCCTGGCTCCAGGCTCCGGGCCCAGCGGCCCCACCCTCCCAGCTCCGGCCCCGCGGCCACAGCGCAGCCCCAGCGGAGGGGGCCGCTCCCCCGCGTCGCGCGCGCTCTGTTTGTTTTCCTTGCCGGACTGACGTGAGTCAAAATATTGGCCATATGTTCAGCGGTAATAAATTGGGTATGAGCGCAAACACACTTGGGCTTCGATGGCTCTTTCAGTTGCCACATGGTCGGCTTTGCGGGGAGAAGGCTTCCACCCCTGCCTTGGCCCACTTCCCCCAAACGCGCCAGTTGGTTCCCTCCCTCCAGCGACCCTCTGAGCTGGAGATCTAGGACCCTAGGTCTCTCCTGACCCTCGCCCCTCCTCCGTCCCCAACAGTGTCTTGGACTCCGCAGCTCCTGGTAAGCCCGGACTGCTGGTTAACAAGGTCGCCATCTATAAATTGCTCCGTCGCTAAGACGCCATAAAACCAAAGGGCCAGATGTGGCACGTTATTTATGTGTGAAACCGCGTTTACACTAGATACGCGGATCCAAGGCCGATAGCACGACTTTGCGGGAGGTCACAGACCTCTCGCCCAGGCTCCAGGCTCCTCCCACAGCACGATCTCCTCTCCAGGTTGACGGGTGTCGGTCTTCCCGGGAAAGGGATTCACCCCGGGAGCCCGGGAGGAAAGTGATTTCAGTGCGCTTGTGCCAAAATGCCACCTGTCCAGGATTAGAGGCAGTCTCTGGGGTTTATTTCCTTAGCTTTTCTGTTTCCCCTGCTCTTGCCTTCCTTTTATTACAGGCCCCTGGGAGGCTGTTTTATTTTCCAGGAGGTTGATACCTTTCATGGGACCTAGCTCTGACACAGCAAGGGTAGTGTTTGAAAGCTAGAGATGCCCAACTCTGTGGGTGGGTGAGATTTGAGGGTGGGGTCTCCTGAGCCCTGAGGGAAGGATTTTGAGAAGTGGAGCAGTTCACCTGGCTGAGGGAGCACCTGAAATTATTCTTGCCTCCGGCCGGTGGTCAACTCCAGTGTCGCATGTCACCTGCCTTATTTAAATTGAAGGGCAGCCAGAGCACTGGGAGAGGCAGCCCTGGCCTCGAATATGGAATCCGGTGGCCCTGGGTGCTGCAGGAAAGGGAAGTAAATACTCTGTCCTAATAGAAAATAATCTTTTTGCTTTCCTTCTTCAGAAGGCGGCCTCAGGACTGCATGTCCCCAAACTGGTCACCTCGCACTTTGCTCACATGAATTCATTAAGAGTCATTGTCTCTCCATTGCCATTATTTTACTATTTCTTGAAGTGAACCAAATTCTCTCTGTGGTTAATAAGCACTGAGCCAGACCCCCTACCTTCGTTTTCATCTTCAAAACACCTGGGGTTCCCTGAATGACATCTTTCTTCTGGCCAAGGAAAATAAGAGATGAAAAATGTTGCCCTACTGCAGGGAAAAACATAAGCATTTGACTTTACTATTACCAGTTACCCCAGGTCTGTGTTCACTGGATAACTGTCCTTAGGTGGCTGTTAAGGGTGGAAAAATGATGCTGTTGAAAGAGGGTGGGAGAGGAGGGAGAACCAACATAGACTGGGAGTAGGGAGGAAGACCCATTTGATAGAGGCAAAAAGAGCTATAAAATGAACCTCTTAACCTGAAGTGCTGAGCAGGAACAGTGACTCTCTGGGTTTGCTCTCTTGGGCCTTAGATGAGCTCCTAGAAAGCTTTAGTTAACTGCGGAAAAACCTGGGGCTACTCTCAGGCCTGCAGTGGTGGTTGATCTTGGGAAATTATACTGTTTTTCACTCTTTTTTCTTGGATTTTTACATCTTTATTTATGGTTAAAAACCAAACTATAGGGTTTGCCTTTGGGTTTACATTACCTCCAAGTGGAAGCGCTGAGATCACAGATCAGTTGCTTCTTTGGGTGAAAATATTGCTTCATGACCAAAATTAGACAAGGGGATTTGAAGGCAGGCCTTCACATTTGTAGCCTTCGTGGGAATGGGTGTCTTTGTGTAACAAGTGTCCCGTGAAGAGGCTCATGCTTCCTTCCTGCATGTACCACAGATATGTGCTAGGTAGAGGACTGAGATGCAGACAAAGAGCTTAGAAAGTCAGTGTCTGGTGCTCCCAGGATGGAAAACTGAGAGACACGAAGCAAAGAGTACATCAAGTCAGGCTTCACATCATTCCCTAGTTAGGAAAACCCATTTAAAACCAGCAAATGTAGCAGGGCATCTACAAGGTAACTGATAATAAAAATCCATGACAAAGAAGATGCAGTGGGGAGCAAGCATAAATGAAATACAACTACTTAGATACAAATCCTGTGTCTTCTCTGTGGGCTTATTCAGCAAGCCAGTGCTAAACTTCATACATTACACCCTCCAACCTTAACAGATTGCATGCTGTTCCACCATTTTTTATGCTATTCTTACTTCAGAAACATTCCAGTCCTACTCATGGACTCAAAATTCACAGACTTTTCATACTGGAGAAACCTTCCTCCACGAAGCTCCCCCCAGAGGCACCATAAGCTACAGTTGTTCCTCTCCAGGAGTGACCAGTTCTCACTTACAAATCAATGCACAATCAGCGGAAATACATACTCTAGCATGTTTTGACCTGAACTAGGATATAATGGAATTGTCTTGAAACTAGTTATTCCAAGGTCCTCTCATGGAGGAGTTCTTGCTTGTTATAGCTGTTGGCACTGCTACGCAGTTGATTCAATTAAGGAAGCTAAGTGTCTTGCTCACACCTTACCTGAGCCTCACATGTGGCCTCCAGAGAGGCACAATGGAGGTGAGAGCTGAGATGGAGTCTGAAGGAAGTAAGTACCCCAACCCCAGACCACAAGGGGCTGTCAGGAAGCAATGTGCATCTGCAAAGATCCCAGTGCACAATGGGGAGCTGGAGATGGGCAATGCCTCTCCCCGTGCCCTCAGCAAGTGAAACGTTGACTGTGCTCTCCAGAGACTTGATGCTTTTCCTTCAGTTCCTTCAGCAGCAGAGCCAGAAGGCAAGAGGCATGGTCTTATGAGGCTTCTGGGCTTTCAGAAGCCAAGAGTAATACCAGTTCCTTCTTATCTCCTGCCGAGAACCAGAGAACTGGAATAACAGACACTGCAGGACACAGATTGTTTTGTTAAAGAGTTGGCCACAGCCAAAGAATTTGGCAATATGTATAAAATCTTCAGGAAGCAACAATCAAATTCATCTAGAGACAGAAACTAGACTAGCAGTGGCCTAGACTTGGGAGTTAGGGGCTGGGGAGTGAGGGCTGAGGGGTGTGGTGTTTCTTTTTGGGGTGAGGGAAATGCTCTGAGATTGCTTTTGGTGATGTTCACAAATCTGTGAACACAGTAAAAGCCACATTCAGTACACATTAAATGGGTAAATTAATGTACACATTAAATGGGTAAATGGTATGGTGTACGAATTACATCTCAATAAAATAAAGCTATTTAAAAAGCCAATGCATCTCTTGTTTATCTGGGCTAGAAATTGCTGGGATAGAAACTGGGAGGGGAGGGAGGCACTGGGGGAAGACAGGTGATCCTGAAAGTTGTTTTCCATCTTCCCAATTTATATTCTGAGTGTTTTCAAGCACACAGAAAAGTTGAAAGAATAGTGAACATTTGGGTACCTTCCACCTGGATTCAACATTTGTTAGTATTTTGCCACATATACTTTATCATTCTATATAAGTGCACTTTCATTTTGCTGAACTATTTGGAATGAAGATGGCAGAAAATTCCTCATGGAATATTTCAGCAGGCATCTCCTAAGAATACAATTCTTCAATATAATCACAACGCTGTTACCACACCTTAAAAATTAACAGTAGTTACATAATACTGTGTGATATTAATTCCTTGTTTACATTTCTCACATTTTACCAAAAACAAAATATATTTTTATAGACTGTCTATTTTTTCCAGATCCAGGACTTATTCAAGGCTCATGTACTGTATTTGGTTTACAAAATATTTTAATGTCCTTATTCTCTTTTGATTTCCAACAGTCTTCCTTATCTTACTCCCTCCCTCCTTCCCTCTCTCCCTCCCTCCCTCCCTCCCTGACACTGACTTTTGAGAACCCAAGGCATTTTTAGAACACCCTACATTCTGGATTTGCCAGATTGCTTTCTCCTGGTGTTACCTGCCTTGTTTCCCTACCCCTGCATAACCGGAAACAGGATGCCAGATCTGGAGTCATGATGAGGCATATGCTACACATTTGTGGGAAGAAGGCCACATTGTAGTGCGTCACATTGCATCTCATTAGGAGGCAAATCATGTTCTTCTATTAGAGAGGCTAAGTTTGATCACTTGGTTAAGGTGGTGACTGGTGACCACCAAATCACCTCATGTGATTAAGAAGTCACTGAGGGATGAGTGACCTTTGGCATTGTTTCAATATTCTTTGTCACTGTGTAAATATCCCCTTATTCTCCAACAGCTTTTCACGTAGAGTCTTATAGCATTTGTTGTCTGAATTCTCCTGTTTTTTTCTACATGTACTTGGTTTTTCTCCTCCATTTCCATTTCTTTTAATTTTGTTTTCCCTTGTAGTGCTTTCCTTCTCTTTGGTCCATTCTATTGGTGGCAATGAGGGACACTATTTATCTCAGCTGCTGGCATTCAAGACTAAATAAATGATTGACTCAGGCATCATGTTATTGCTTTCCAGTAAAAAGATGCAGCAGAAGACCAGAGGTTTGCAGTGGAAAATCATGTCACTTTCCAGTAACATTGGTTTAGAGAAGTATTAAATTTGACATGTAAATCTGATCCTTCGGTTTTTGGTTGGAGGATTTGTATTCATGATGTGTTTATCTTACAGAGTTGAAGCCCTTAGATTGGAACAGGACTGGATTGCACTGAGTCCTGTGGTTAGGAGGGCTCCAGGCTCAAGGCAGTCTAGAGGGTGGGGCAGTTGTCTTTTCACAGTGGGTTCACCAT